TGGTGGAGGGACAAGGGAGGAGGGGTGGGAGAGGAAGCTGGGATTGACATGTGAAGCATGCATGTTTCTAATTTAAATAAAAACATATATTGAGAAAAAATTTTAAAAAAAGACAGATCTCTCTGGGTGTGTGGCACACACCCTTAGTCCCACTCTGGAGGCAGAGGCAGGTGGATCTCTGGGAGTTTGAGGCCAGCCTGGTCTACATTGTGACCAGTGTAGTGACCAACCAGGAAAGACTACATAGGGAGACCTTGTTGTAAAACAAAAACACAAAGCCAGTCATTTGCTTCTGGGGGGGCGCAGAGAAGACTTCTACGTTCTCTTGGGTTGTCCGCACACCCCATGCTATCTTTTCTCTGTATCTGGGGGACAACCCCGGAGCAGAGAAAGTGGCGGCCTCAGTGATGTCTTGCCCCGTGACGATCCTATGACGGCGGGGACAGCATTGGACGGACACACGGCAAAGCGGCAGGCGTACACTTTGCACCCTTGCCCGAGGCTCTCAGGAGCCATCGAGGCAGTCCTGCTGGGCCGTAGCTCCTAGCAAACTTCCGGTGATTTGAAGACCCTAGTGGGCTGGCCACTTCATCCATTCAAGGAAGGCATTCTCTGCCCCACTGTCAGCTCCCTCACAGCCAGGGGACACGTCCTCAAGGTCACCAAAAGGGTTGGGTGGCCAGGCTTTTCCCAGTGCTCAGCAAGCTCTCAGGAGTGGCTGCCTTGGCCACTGTAGAGCGCATGTGTGGTTCTCCAATCATGTAGAACGCATGTCTGTGTTAGTGGTTCTCCAATCACGAGCCTGGAGCCAGCTCGGAACCTAGAGATCCTAGACCTAACTCTGGGGCTGGACTCCGCGGCAGTCTTTTTTTTTTTATTAATTAGTTTAAATAATTTTGATGAACCTAGGTTTGAAACCTAGGGCTTCAAGCTTGCTAAACAAACACCCTGCTACTGAGCTGTGTCCTCTACCCCTCCAATCCCGTTCTTTTTATTTTGGGACTCAGTGCCAGCTGTCCTGAAACTCAGTACATAGATCAGGCTAGCCTCAAACTTTTGATGAGGTAGAAGGCCACCACAACCAGCTTTCAATATGTTTGTTTTCTTACTTAACTTCATGTGCTAACACTGTGTTCGTGTGCACAAGGCGTGGCATGCTTGTACAAATCAGAGGACAACGCTATGGAGTCCGTTCTCTTCATCTACCTTTAAATAGTTTTCCTGGGTATCAGACTCAGGTTGTCCAGCCTGGGTGGCAAGCAGTTTTACCCACAGAGTCATGTCAGCATCCCTAATCATTTTTTAATATTTATTTTTAATGTGCGTATATGTATACCTGAGTGCAAGGCTGCATACCACATGCATGAAGAGTCCCTTGGAAGTCAGAAGAGGATGTCAGATACCCTAGAACTGCAATTATAGATGGTTGTGAGCTGCTATTTGGATGCTGGTAACTGTGGTAATATAGTATTTATGATTTAATAAAGCTTGCCTAAGGGTTCAGAATTCAAAGCTAACCACAAGCCATAGAGCTAGGCTGCGGTGGCCCATGCCTTTAATCCCAGAACTCGGGAGACAGGCAGACAGATCTCTCTGAGTTCAAGGCCACCCTGACCTACACAAGAGTGAAGAGTATCAGAGCACACGCATTTAAGCCCAGCACTTGGGAGGTTTAAAAGGAAGAATCAAAGAGTCTCATGTAGAGATTGAGTTTCCAGAAGGCAGTGCGATTGCCTCTGAGGATTCGTGGGGAGAGCATTGCACTCTGAGGATTCATGGAACCAGGATCACCCTTTCAGTCTGAGGTAGAGATAAGAGCTAGAGGCTGGCTGCTTTGCTTATCTGCCCATCAGCTTGAACTCCAGTATCTATCTCTGGGTTTTTATTTTTCCTTGTTCCAGGTAACTTGAACCACTGAGTCAACCACGCCCCAATCTGTTTTTAACAGGCTCTCCAGGTGGTCCTGATGTAAGTGCAGGCTGGCAACTCTGTTACAACAGCGAGATGCCATCTCCTCTTTTCATTTCTCTCCCTAGAACAGGGTGCAGCAGGGGTTGCTCAGCAGATGTGAGCGGAGAACTTGGTTTATGGAGGGCTTTCCTTGTGCTCACCACACACTTTCGGGCGTGTGACTGACTGGGTTTGTCTGAGAGCTCAGTTCTTTCGCTGGGAAGCAGCAATTATTACGTAGGCAAAAGTTAGATCAAAATGCCGGAGACTGCCAGGCAGGGGCTTCGTGATAGGTGTCTGCGCACTGGAGTAGCTCAGTCAAGGCTCAGGGGACAGCTGTGGACGCGGGAGAGAGGGAAGGGACTCGGCTGAGCTGGAGGGGTGGGAAATGCTGGCGTGAGGAGCCAGCCAGGGCGTCCAGAGTCAGGGGCGCTAGCAGGGGCGTTCACCCTCGGTTACTCTGCGTTTATTTACTCAGAGGCGTGGAAGAAAGCATAAAGGGCTAGCCTGGTGTAAAAGAAATAAAAGAGGGCTGGGGCGTAACTCACTGCTGGGGCATGCGCTTAGTGTGGGCGGTCTCTGTCTGTCTGTCTGTGTGTGTGTCTCTCTCTGTTTCTGTGTGTTTGTGTGTGTGTGTGTGTGTGTCTCTGTCTCTGTCTGTCTATCTGTGTCTCTGTCTCTCTCTCTGTCTCTCTGTGTATCTCTGTGTGTGTGTGTCTCTCTCTGTCTGTGTCTCTGTCTCTGTCTCTCTCTCTCTGTCTCTCCCTGTCTCTGTCTGTCTGTCTGTCTGTCTCTCTCTGTGTCTCTCTCTGTCTCTCTATGTGTGTGTGTCTCTCTCTGTCTCTCTGTCTCTCTCTCCCTGTCTCTGTCTGTCTGTCTGTCTGTGTCTGTCTGTCTCTCTCTCTGTCTGTCTCTCTCTGTGTGTGTGTGTCTCTCTCTGTGTATCTCTCTCTCTGTCTCTCTCTCTGTATCTCTCTCTGTCTCTGTCTGTCTGTGTCTCTGTCTCTGTCTCTCTCTGTCTCTCCCTGTCTCTGTCTGTCTGTCTGTCTCTCTCTGTCTTTCTCTGTGTGTGTCTCTCTGTCTCTCTCTCCCCTTTCCTATTGCTCTCTCCCCCTCCCTTCCTCTCCCTCCCTTCCTCTCCCCCTCCCTCCATTCTTCCCTCTCCCCCCATCCCTGCCCCGGGCTCTTTACTGTATAGTCCTGGCTGGCCTGGAACTCGCTCACTCCTCCAATCAGCACTCAGGAGGCAGACACAGGCAGATCTATATGGGTTTGAGGGCAGCCTGGTCTACGTAGCAAGTTCCAGAACCAGCCAGGGCTGCATAGCGAGACAACAAAAACCAAACACAAATAAAAACCTTAGACGGCGCAAGGCCCTCCCTGGAGTCTCCAGTACTACAAGCAGAGGGAAGCAGAGGCCTGGGTTCAAGAGTAGCCTGAAGTATGCAGTGAGTTCAAGGCTAACTTGAGCAATTTAGTAAGGGCCTGCCTCAAATTAAAAACTAGAATAAGTGAAAATGAAAAAAACACAAAGAGGAAGAGGAGGAAGAAGGGGGAGGATGGAGAGGAGGAAGGGGAGGAGGAGGAAGAAGGGGAGGATGGAGAGGAGGAAGGGGAGGAGGAGGAAGGGGAGGAGGAGGAAGAAGGAGGAAGGGGAGGAGGAGGAAAATGAGGAGGGTAAGGTGTGGAAACAAGGCATAAGTATGATGAAACTTGCTGGCTAATGAAACCGGCAGGTGGTTGGTGGTGTAAGGCCGCAGTTCCTGTGACCCAACGGTTTGCTTCTGCTTGCCCGTATTTCAGTGTGTGGAAGGCCTTGGGGGGGGTATGGATGAGGACTAGAACCCCGGGAAAGATTCGTGAACACCAGGCTGTGTATTCTCTCCTGCCCTACTTCCCGCCTGCGAACTGTGCCTTCCTCCCCTTCCCTCCCCTCCCCTCCATCTCCTCCACTCTATTCCCCTCCCCTCATCTCCACTCCCCTCCACTCCCTTTCCCTCTCCTCCCCTCTCCACCTCTCTCCTCCCCTCTCCTTTCTCTCCTCTCCTCTTTTCCACCCTTCCCCCATTTCCTCTCCCTTCCCCTTCCCTCTGTTCCTCCCTCCCCCTTTTCCTTCTCAGCACCCCTGTAAGCCCGGAAAGCGCAGAGTTACAAAGCAGTCACCAGGCAGGGAGGAACAGAGTATGGCAGGTGTGAGTGGCCCTTAGGGGTGGGGACGTTGCTTGGGGACTTCTGCAGTCAGATTACAGGGGGACTTGAAGAGTGGAGAATACCAGGCCGGGACCCTGTGCCCCAGCAGGGCCGAAGCCTCTGTGTAGCGGAGAGTGGTACAATCAAGAAGCTGGCGCGGTCAGTGTGGCCACAGTGGCCACAGGTAGGGGCTGAGAAGTGACAGGGGCTCACTTTGCCGGAAGTGAGAGTTAAGAGGCCACCTCAGCAGACTGTGCTGGTGACACCCCAAGAAGCCGGCAGGAAAGGAATAATGAGCCTGCGCGCCTCTAAACCTGGCGTTGGGGAGGCCGAGGCGCAAGGATTGCCGGAAGTCTCAGCCCAGTCTGGGCCACACAGTGAGTCCCAGGTCCTAGCCTAGGCTAAAAATTAAAACCCTGTCTGAGAAAATGGAAGGTCACAAGTGCTAAGGGAGAGGTATGGACAGATGGCGCTGTAAAGAGGGTCGGGGGCATGACTCCACGGGTCCTGGGCTTTCCAAACAACGCTTTCCTGCGGTGTGCCACGGGAGCGAGTGCTTCGTGTGACCCAGCAGCTGTCCACTGGACAGCCGCGGATGGAGGATGAGGATTGGCTGGTTCTGGAGGTGGGGCCGGCTCTCCCACCCCTCCCACCTGCCTGAGATACCCTGGATCCCTTCTCTTAATGTCCTCAGTGGGCACGGATGGCCTCCCATGGAACCGGGGTGGTGGTGTTTTCCTCTGTGACTATTTAATTATGGGGCTGACAAACAAGGGGGAAAAAAAACCAGTCACATGAGGGTTTCAAGCCCGAGATTGCTTCAGTTGACTGTGGAAGCGACACCGGTTATGCAACAAGAGTTTTAGGGTGAACAAGTCATGTTTGATCTCGGTTTGATGGTCTGGTCATCGACAGAACGCTATCCCTTTGGGGGAGTGGCGGGTGAGCCAACGACACCCTCTCCTGTCCCACAAACCAACAAAAAAGAAAGGCCTGGTGTTCGGTGGCATCTTGGGAGCCTCTGGTTGGCTGTCTCTGATTCATTTCAGAAAATGACAGCAAGAGGCCAAACGAGATAGAAGGTAGATCTCTTTTTCAACTGCCTTTCCTTCCTGTTTGAAAAAAAACAAAACAAAACTCTCAAGCTCAGCCCATCTCCTCCCTCTATCCCTCCCTCACCCCACCACAAACCCACTTCCTCCCCAGTCCTGGCCCCACCCACTAACACCGTTTCTCCCCTGTGCCCTCAGCTGCTTCCCCCACAGCTGCCAGCTCAGGGTCATGCCCAGGCAGCCGGATACCAGCCAAGACTTCTACCTCACTCGCAGCAGCTCAGCTGGGTCACCTTGGGAGGAGGCAGAGTGACGAGGGCAGTTGTCTGAGAGCACTGCCAACGCCAGCCTGGTCTTGCTGTCGCTCCAAATACACGGTGTATTAGAGCCGCTCCTAATCATACGTGAAGAGCTGCCACTGAGGGCGGCTGGCGTTCAAACGCAGCTGACGCGCACGTCTGTCTTAAACCCTCGGGGAGCGCGTGAAAGGTCCCCTCTCCCTTTAGATGTGAGACAGAGACCGGGTGGCAGTGTGCGGGCACAGGCTCACACAGCCCTGACTCCGGGTCCTCTGCTGACTTGGAAGGCCTTTATTTACCGTGACTCGTGTCCCGGCCCCCACCTGCTGAAGTGGGACAGATTCTCCAAAAAGAAGCCATTTAGAGGGGAGGCTGGTTGCCACTGCTCCAGAAGCCCCAGGGACCTATAACTGGTCATCTGCAGAGGAGCCTGCTCTTTGTCAACGGAGCTGCTGCCAAGTTTCCTGGGAGTCAGGCCTCTGGGCCCGCATCCTAGTTGGTTTAGTGGTAATAGGACCAAGGTCACAGGCGCATGCACTCCTAACTTTAGCGAGCATTTCTCAAGTGAAGTGGGGTCCACTGGGTGTGGGTGAAAATGACTTGGGCCAACCCTCTAATTTCTCAAATAAATAACCCATAAAACCATCTGCCGAACAGATGGATGTCAAGGGTTGTAGACATATTTATAATAGTTTCTATTTGCAATAGGAGAGGCCTAACGTTTGAGCAAATCTCAGCCCCCTAAAGGCCAAATTCCAAATCTACTCCCTTTACCCTGGAAGGCATCCTGGGAGATGGTAGCCATGAATTATCCCAAACTAGTCAGGGCCAGTGAAGGGGACAGCCTCCACTGTGCACACAGCACTGGGGTAGGCTCAGCAAAGGACCCTGGGTGCTTGTAAAACTTTAGCCTTAGTTTGAGAGACAGGGCACACATTCTCACACACAAAAACAGAGCCAGGTGGTGGCCTTTAATCCCAGTACTCAGGAGGCAGAGGCATGCAGATCTCTGAGTTCGAGGTCAGCCTGGTCTACATAGAGAGTCCAAGGCAGCCAGGGCTATGCAGAGGAATCCTGTCTTGAAAAAACAAACAAACATAGGCACAGAAACATGTGCCTAAAACACATAACAGATAATGACAAGGGTGCCGAGATATGAAGAGAGAGGGTCTGTGGGCCTTTGAAAAAGAAATAAGATTCTGAAGGGCGGAAATCACAGAGCTGAAGGGTTGCGTCTGGGTGAAGAAGAGTAAGTTTGCATGTAGACCCAGCCCCCAGCTCTACAGTGTGCTTGGGGTGCCTTGGAATAGACCCGGGGAAGCCCTGGAGTTCAGGCCAGCCTAGTCTGTAGCCAAAAGCTATTTGACAGAGTAACCCTCTTCCTCTTGATTATACAGGTTTAAGTAATTCATCAACACTGATCCAACATCTTCTTCAGGAGACGGGCAGCGGCAAAGGCACCTGGTGAAATACAACAGGGATTTGTAGAATCCCCTTCAAAGGACTTCTGCTGGCCCAAGCCTGCTAAGGGGACAGAAAAGCAAAGAGATGCCTACAGTGTCCGGTGGCCAAGACTCTGACAGAAAGGTCAGAGGTCACAGGAAGTGGCCAGGTTCAACGGGGTGACATGGATGGCGGCGGCTGAGTTGTTGCAAAAGCAAACAGACAATAGGGGAGGCTGGAGGAAGTGGAAAAGGGTGTCTGAGGAGAGGAGCCTGCACACAGGCGTTAGGAGGGGAGAGCGCTTGGTGGGCCAGGAGGCTGGGTGCTGAGCGGTGAGCTTGGAGACTCAGGTGGGTTCACATCTGAATTTGAACACAGACCTTGGAATGCCGTGAGAGGCCTCTTGGGGATGAACAGGGTTTGTTTTTGTTTTTATTTGAGGACAGTATCTCACTCAGGGGCCCAGACTAGCCTGGAACTCACAGCAATCCTCCTGCCTCAGTATGTCAAGGGTTAGGATTACAAGCCATGGACCAACATGACTGGCTCGGATGAAAGGTCTTGCTCCGAGATACATAAGAAAATCAGGGCTTGATTCTGCAGCAGTCGTCTGAACCTGCCGCGGGGGTGAGAAGAGAGAGGAGCTTTTGAGGAGAACGTGGCAACCTCCTCGCCCTGCCCAATGCCGCTTGGGCTAGTCAGTTCACAGAGCAGCACAGCGTGAAGGCCGGGCAGTTCTGCCCCCACTGGAGAGCACCATGAGCCTGGTGCAGCGCCTCTCATGCGTCTCCACGGCCCTCTTCAGAGACACCAGAGGGTTGAAGTGACTTGCAAGGAAGATGCCACCAGAGCCTTACTTTTTCTTTTTCTTTTTTTCCCCGGCACAGGGGGTGGGGGTGGGGGATGACTCATAGCCTTATGTATATACTAGGCAAGTAGGCAAGCTCTCCACCATTGAGCTGTTGAGTTCTAGGCCCATCCAAAGTCTTATACTCCAGGCTTCTGCCACTCCAAAACCCCAGGGAATGCTGGGTACTTGGCACCAGGAGCCAGCATCTTCATGATCATCCTGCTAGACTAGGCCGAAACTAGGTAGGCTGGATGGACAGACAATGGACAGATTCACCGTAGTAGTTTTAAAAGTCATAGCCATACCCTGACACCACAGTCTCCCTTGTCAACTGCTATAGACCTTTGCTATGAGGACTTTAAGCTAGTTTGAGTTGTTTTCCTTTAATACGGCTTGAATGTCCATCTGGTTCTTGATGCACAGTAGATGTTAGGGCGCAGAGCACCTTTTTAATGGATCCGTCCCCTTTCAAGTAGAAATTGGAACTGTCCAAGTTCATTAAGATTCAGCACCAGAGATTACTGACTGAGTGCCTGGTTATGTGATCAGATGCTGGCTTAGAGGCCGAGAATAAAGTTGAAAGAAAGAAAGTGTCCAGATGAAGAGAACACGAGACAGTGACCAGACTGTCTGGCTCTCTGCATGAACGCTGGTGTTGTCTGACACTTCTGGGGGGGGGGGCACGAGCAAGTGTTATTCACCCAACATAGGTTCAGCAGACCAAGGCAACACTGCCACTCAAGTCCAGCTCAGTGAGCCAATGAGTTTTACAGGAGTTGCTTAAAGAAGCATGGGTGAGGAACTTGGACAACTTACAGGCAGCTACACTACCAAGGAAAAGCCTGTCTCCACCCCAGCCGTTGTTAACCACTTATATGTCCTCAGGGAGGAAAGGGACCTCGTGTGCCACCTCATGAAGGTTCCTCGCACTTCCCTTTGCCAACAGGACAATCTGAGGTCCTGTTGGTGAGGGTCCCCTACCCATAATTGTAGCTACTCTGACTCATGACCGCAACGGCCATACCAATGCCTGGAGAAAAGAGTCCCCCAGTTACTAGTCTCTGTGAGTCCCCGGCCTTTGAGCCTAGAGGCTAACTTGACCATGTTAGATACGCCCCATCTCCCCAAGTCCAGTGATTAGTGATGCTTTCCCATGGACAGTGAAATCTCCACTTGAGTGGGACTGACTGCCATCAGTATTCCATGCCCAGCAACAACAGCCTAACTTTTAAAGCAACAAAACTCGGAGGTGAGAAGTCCTTAGCGGTTTTTTTGTTTTGTTTTGTTTTGTTTTTGTTTTTGTTTTGCACACCTAGCCCGAACTCACACCACAGTCTGCGACAAGAACTGAATCACATCTCTGGGCTCTCCCACACTGGCTTCCTCTTGTCTTGCTAATTCACCATAAATTTGGAGCCGCAAAAGTTCAAAACAAAGCTGAACCCTGTATTGGGCATTAAGCCCATGAGTCACAGTTGGAACAGTGGCCTCTTTCTTTCCATGTTAGCTGTGTTTTTCCTACCCTGTGACCCAAACAAGAATCAACTTTGTGACAATAATTCATTCAGTGCTGCCTTGGAGCAGGGGCTGTGTTGGGAGGTGACAAGTTCTGCAGTGTCCCAGGTAGCAATGCATCTACTGTTGGTAGGATGCTGGGGTTGGGGGAGGGCAGTGAACCCAGCAAGTGGAGCTCCCAATTTCATTCCCTTGCAGGGGCCAGCAAAGACTCCCCACAGAGGAAAGACTTCCCAAATGTTTAAGATGCCTGGGTGCGGGAGGCAAGGGGGAGTGAGCCAGCCCTGGGAATGAGCTTTCTGACAGCCACGCTGACTGGATTGGGACCTGTGTCACTTTTTAAGGCTGAGTGTGTCCAAAAATAGTTGTCGGGGGTAGTTTGGGAAAGGAGCCCCCCCTTGAACGTGGGGGCTGTGCAGCAGGGTGGCCATCCAGGCTTCCTGACCTCTGCCCCTAGCACCCCTGTCAGCTCTGCTCCGTCCTTCAGGCCTATCTCAAACTTGCACCTGACACTTCCTCTCTTTTTGTTCCTTGTAGGGGGATACCGGGACCTCCGGGTCAAATTCTTTCTTCCTCTCTCTTTTAGTTTTTCCAAATGCTCCCCATTTGCTGTTGGCTAAATACATATTTTAAGCACATATTGCAAACTTTAAGACATTAGCCTTGACACAACTAGGGAGAAAATACACGCAATTCCCTTACTCAACAACACAGGGTAATGAAGTCCTAAAAGCCAAATATACACACCAGACAGGGAATGGTTAAGGAACACAGTGGGCGGGGTGTTCCCCTGGGGCTAGGGGCAAGCAGCTGGGCTGGAGCAGCTACTCCCGAAGGAGCTTCCGGCTGGAGACAGCAAAATGAAAGGTTAGCAGTTAGGAGCGTGCAGCCTACAGCTTCTGTCTCAAATCCACCGTGTGAAACCCAAGGGTCAGAGCATGCCCCAGCTGGAAGATTCAGGACTATGCCCTGGGGTGCCCACCTCCGAGGAACCACTTGGCCTGTCTCAGTCAGCTGATGCAATCGATGGTCAAGGACCTCTCAGGACCACAGAAGGGACAGTGTGATAACGATCCTGTTACAGAGGCAGGAGTCCATGATCCCTAATCCTCAGCTCTAGGTGAGAAAAATAAACAAAGCATAGGGTTGTGATGGGGGGAATGTCCTGCTGTGTGCTGTGGATATATGCTTCTCTTATTGGTTGATGAATAAAGCTGTTCCGGCCGATGGACAGACAAGATTTAGCCAGGTGGGAAATCCAAACAGGGATAGAGAAAGGTAGTAGGTGGAGTCAGAGAAACGCCATGTAGCTGCTGAGGAAGCAAGAGGCCTGGGCATCACCCGTATGCCAAGATTGTGTGGAGATACACAGATGAATAGAAATGGGTTAATAATTAAGAGAGAGCTGGCCAATAAGAAGCCAGAGCCATCGGCTAAACAGTTTATAATTAGTGTAAGCCTCTGTGTGTTTATTTGGGACTGAATGGATGCAGGACCAGGAGGGACAGAAATTTTCATCCACAGATGCTAAAAACCAAAACCCCAAACTTGCCACTGTGTATAAATAAGCAGAGTCATAGACTGGATGTGTTGGCCTCGGGAGGCCATCCTTCCCAAGCAAAGCCGCCAACAGGAAGAATTCCAGTCACATGCTTTTGTAGTTGTGGTAAAAAGAGAAACAGACGGAAAATTTTTTTTGGTGTTTTGAGAGGAAATCCATTTTAATAACATAATCGCTTTCTCCAAATATCTCAAAAACGTCACTTAAACATAGAATCGGCATAAAAGCTCTTCGTCTCGCTTTTTTTTCATGTGAACCCCTTCCCGCATTCATCTGTGTATTTTTAATCCCTCAGCATATTCCGACTCAAGTGCTAAATCTGCAACAGAAGCACCTGATCTGTATTCATAGTTCCCACAAATTTATGGCTGCAAAAGTATTCACACACCTGATTTATTCCAGACATACTTCAAAGCTTTCCGATATCCAGGGCGAGCACCAAAAGTAATTTTCTCTCTTAATATCTGCACGCATGCTGTTCAGTCTAGCCACCTTGTTTTAGAACTGACTTTAAGGTAGAACACTGCGCCCCTTCCCCCGTGAGTTCCAAAACCGTCCCAGCGATGCGCTAACTTTGTGCGACTCTGCACTGTTGCTCGTCCATTTATTCTTCAAGCTCATCACACACATGGTGGGTGATCTTAGCTCGCCGTTCCAGGCAGCGGTCTGCCACCCTCTGCATACGTGCGTGCATACGTGCCGTGGCGTTTGGTTCCCCTCTTCCTCCTCCCACGCGGCTCCATCCCGGACCACTCCTTTCTCTGGTTCCTTTTCTTTCTTTCTTTTTTTTTAATATTTTATTTATTTATTTATTTATTTATTGTGCATATAGTCTTTTTGTCTGCAGATCTCATTCAAGGTGGTTGTGAGCCACCATGTGGTTGCCGGGAATTGAACTCATGACCTCTGGAAGAACAGTCAGTCCTCCTAACCGCTGAGCCATCTCTCCAGCCCTCTCTGGTTCCTTTTCTTACCCCAGGTGGGTGCCCCTTGAGGCCACTTCACCCCCTCCGCCATCGCCTCCTAGTCTCAAGCCCAACACCGACGCGTAAATCCCCTCCTGTGTGCACCTCGCATTTCAAACGCAGAGGACCCACGTCCTGGTTTTGTCTGACAGAGGGCGGGGCTTATCTCAGCTCACAGTTCCAGGTTGCACGGGCTATGGATGAGGGGTTGCCGTGACAACGGGGACACCCCCCCCCCCCAGCAGCTGGCTCTTCACCACATCCACAGTCAAGAGCAGAGAGAGAAACCAACACTTGCACACTCGCTGCCTGGCTTCATTCTGCCACCAGCGTCTAACAATCCTCAACCCATACCCCTGGAATCAGCCGCCGGTTTTAGGCCGGATCTTTGCGCACCAGCGAACACATCTGAGAGCAAACTGCGCTGCGCAATCCCTCGCTGAGTCTCCCGAGTGAGCCTCGGCTGTGTCCCACGGGACGGTGGAAACGAACCAGCGCAGAGCACACAAGAGAAAACGTGATAGTCGGCTCCCTGTCAGCTCAGGGTCAGCATGGAACTCAAAGGGGCCTTTCATAAAGCCAACAATTACCAACGTCTACTTCGTAAACTCGTTAGTCTTTGCAACTAACCCGCATAGCGCTCCCGATTACAGTGAAAAAATCTGCCCACTTAGTGACCGATCCACGCTGTTTAAAACATTCAGCTTCCCGGAATCTCTTGTGCCTCCCAGGCTAGACCACAGACAAGCTTGGCTTCCCTAGGAGCCTCAAGTTAGCAACAAGAGACTTAACTCACCCTGCTGCCTTGGATTATTGAATACCCAACAAGTATTCCTTTTGCTTCAAGGATGTCTTAAGTAAGAACTGACCATGAAATCTTGGCAGAAATTCTCCGCCACTCTGCCAACGCCCTTCCTGGGGCCCCAGGTAGGCGCCCCCTCTGCCTTTCCGGCACCCTCTCCGTCCCCCGCCTCCCTTGAGACCTGCCCATCCCCTCCATCGTCCCCTCCCGAGTTTTACGACCAGCACCGACACACACTGAGAGTTGGCAGAGAGCACAGATAACTGTCTTCTACGTCTCCACCCCACAGGAGCGAGAATCGTAGCATGTGCACACCGTTGGGACAACTTTGAGAACTACACCCCCGCGCTCGCCCAGCGAGCTGATCACAAACATCTCTACTGGGTATCATTTGAGTGGAACAAAGGGCAGGGTGTGGGTGGTGCACACCTTCAATCCTAGCACCCAGGAGACAGAGGCAGGTAGATTTTTGTGAACCAGCCTGGTGTTCATAGTGAGTTCCAGGACAGCCTGAGCTGCACGGTGAGTTCCAGGATAGCCCTGGGCTGCGCAGTGAGACCCTGTCTCAAAAACAAACAAACAAACAAACAAAAAAGCAAATTATAAAGAGGAGCAAAGCATCAGGCAAAGGACGAGCTTCTTGTTTTGAAATCGCACCGAGTTCAGGGAGCCGTGGTGGGGAACCCCCAGGCCCAGCTCGCCAAGGCAGACGCAGGAGAGTTGGAGGACTTCATTGTTTCCTAAAACTTAGCTTCCTCGAGAAACTCGAAGAGACCCCGCCTCAAAAGCCAAGGGCAGGGGTATGGAGCACTTATCTGGGATGTGAGGGGCCCTGGCCCGAGTCCTGAATCCAAGCTAGCAAGCACCACAGGCAACCCAGTCCTTGATCCTGCCGTGAGCACCCTTCCCTGTGATACCTATGCTTGTCTTCTCTGGCAGAGGACTTACACAGATGTAAAATCCCCAAGTGTCTATAGGAATGAATTCAATATTCTACACAATGACAGTACTTTTAAAGAAAATACGTTTGAGAGTCCTGGGAGACGGATCTACCCCAAATGTCGGCCGGCTGCACGCCTTACTTCACTCGACTTTCTCTGCAGCTGAAGTACCTCTGAATCGATCAGACTTTGATGCTGTTAGGAAGACTTCGTATTCAAGGGCAACTGTTTGGTTGCTTCACTGAAGAACCTTTGGCTTTTGCCTCCAGCTTTATTGAGGCTTGCCTGACAAAAGCTCTGCCTATTTAAGACGTATCCATTTGATAGATGCTGTGACAGGGCTACCAAATAAAGCCAAGTATGTGGTGATATATTATTTATGTTTTTTTGTTGTTGTTGTATTTCTTTTTTTAAGATTTATTTATTTATTACATATACACCAGATTGAACTGTAGATGGTTGTGAGCCACCATGTGATTGCTGGGAATTGAACTCAAGACCTCTGGAAGAGCAGTCAGTGCTCTTAACCTCTGAGCCATCTCTCCAGCCTGATACATTATTTATGAATTATTAAAGGTTGCCTGAGGATTCAGAAAGCAAAGTCAGCCTCAAGCTACAGAGATCAGGCAGCGGTGATACACACCTTTAATCCCAGCAGCCAGAAGCTAGGAGGTGGTGGCACATGCCTTTAATCCCACGACTCGGGATTAAGAGGTAGACGGATCTCTGTGAGTCCAAGGCCACCCAGATCTACACAAGACTGACCCAGTCCTAAAGAGAAACAGCTCACACAAAGCACCAGGGATCACACGCCTTTAATCCCGCCACTAGATAGGTATAAAAGACAGGAGCGGGGTCTCCAGCAGTCAGTATTGAGCATTCATTCTCCCGCCACACCGGGGATAGGGAGACATCCAGTCTCAGGATCCTACAGCCACGCTGGGGAGAGGCCGCGGGATCAGCCATTCAGCCTGAGGTAGAGGTGAGAGCTAGCGGCCCCCTACTTTGCTTTTCTGATCTTCAGCTTCACGTTTGAACCCCAGGATCAGTCCCTGGGTCATTTATTTTTCATGGCACACAAGTATTTCACGCCGGCCACCTCAGGTACCCTTTAATGGGTGATGGGAATACTTAGGATATAATACACTATACGTTATCAGTAATTAACACATTCTTATTTTATTGTGTTTTTTTGGGGGGAAGTGGCTAGGGACTGAACCCTGGGCATTGACGGCTCTGGCTAGGCAAGCATTCCGCCACCAAGGAAGACGCCCGACCCCAGAATCACTATTTTAACAGCAGCTCTCTAGCTCTCCACGTTATGAAGTATCTCCATCCCACAAACGAAAGGCAGTGGCCTTCCGCCAGAATCTCCCCATTTCCCGTGCCTCCCCCATCTCGAAGGACCACCGTGCTGCTGTGACGCCTTGGCTGCCGTGCGTCAGCGAGATGGCGCGGCATTTGTTCTAGAACCTCCAGCTTATCTCGTTAGCGTGGTGTCTCCCAGGTTTATCCACGAGTCAGGAAATGGATTTCCTTCTTTACGAGGCTGGATCATATAGATGTAGACACATGTCTTTATATGTCTATCTCCTCTGTTCTTTATCCATTCACCCACCAGCAGACATTAGGCTGGACCCGCATCTCAGCTGTTGTAAACGATGCTGGGGCAAGCAGTCTAAGCGCCTCCAAGGTACTGATTTCATCTCCTTCAGACCAACACCAAGAAGCAGGATCGTTGGACCATATGGTAGTTCTGCTTTTAAATTTTTTTGTGAGGAACTTCCGAAGCTGTTTCCCTAACGACTGTGCTGAGCTTACACTAGTTGTTAGACGTCCTTCAGATCTTTCCCTGACACTTCCAGTAGAGTTCCTTGATGAAGATGGTGATGTCTTTGGCTACCTCTCCAAAAATAAAATAAAAAGTAAAATAAGATAAAGTGGTTCTCCTTTGGGTGCGAGGGTTTAAGTCATCATGTAGGACATTATGAACTAGGCCCTGGTAAGAATTGCTTTAAAATGATTATTGAGCAATTAGGTAACTACTGTTGATTCTTGTTTAACTGTTGAGAGAAACGATATTTGTAAAATTTCTGTCTTTTCTCTGAGAGTGTGTGAGATGGTCTCATGTAGCCCAGGCTGGCCTGGACTCGTGATCCTGCTTCCACTACTCGAGTGCTAGGATTGCCTGTGGTTCATTCCAAGCCATTTTTTTTTTACAGCGACTGCTTCTTGCTGTTATAACAGACTGAGTAGTTGTGAAGAAGATAGTTTTCCTCATAGTTTTTGGAAGCTGAGAAATCTAAGACTGTGTCCTCCTTGCTGTGTCATAACAGGTGAAGGCTTTATGAGTAGAGGAAGCTGACTGGTGACAGATATCAGTGGGGAACAAGAGACAATGTCAGGAGAGGCATCCTCACCTCAGTCACAGGACCCTCACCTCAGTCACAGGACCCCTCACCTCAGTCACAGAACCCCTCACCTCAGTCACAGGACCCTCACCTCAGTCACAGGACCCCTCACCTCAGTCACAGGACCCCTCACCTCAGTCACAGGACCCTCACCTCAGTCACAGGACCCTCACCTCAGTCACAGGACCCTCACCTCAGTCACAGGACCCTCACCTCAGTCACAGGACCCTCACCTCAGGATGACAGGACCCTCACCTCAGGATGACAGGACCCTCACCTCAGGATGACAGGACCCTCACCTCAGTCACAGGACCCTCACCTCAGTCACAGGACCCTCACCTCAGTCACAGGACCCTCACCTCAGTCACAGGACCCTCACCTCAGTCACAGGACCCTCACCTCAGTCACAGGACCCCTCACCTCAGTCACAGGACCCCTCACCTCAGTCACAGGACCCTCACCTCAGGATGACAGGACCCCTCACCTCAGTCACAGGACCCTCACCTCAGTCACAGGAGCCTCACCTCAGTCACAGGACCCTCACCTCAGTCACAGGAGCCTCACCTCAGTCACAGGACCCTCACCTCAGTCACAGGACCCTCACCTCAGTCACAGGACCCTCACCTCAGTCACAGGACCCTCACCTCAGTCACAGGACCCTCACCTCAGTCACAGGACCCTCACCTCAGTCACAGGACCCTCACCTCAGTCACAGGACCCTCACCTCAGGATGACAGGACCCTCACCTCAGTCACAGGACCCTCACCTCAGTCACAGGACCCTCACCTCAGGATGACAGGACCCTCACCTCAGGATGACAGGACCCTCACCTCAGGATGACAGGACCCTCACCTCAGTCACAGGACCCTCACCTCAGTCACAGGACCCTCACCTCAGTCACAGGACCCTCACCTCAGTCACAGGACCCCTCACCTCAGGATGACAGGACCCTCACCTCAGGATGACAGGACCCTCACCTCAGTCACAGGACCCTCACCTCAGTCACAGGACCCTCACCTCAGTCACAGGACCCTCACCTCAGTCACAGGACCCTCACCTCAGTCACAGGACCCTCACCTCAGTCACAGGACCCCTCACCTCAGTCACAGGACCCCTCACCTCAGTCACAGGACCCTCACCTCAGTCACAGGACCCTCACCTCAGTCACAGGACCCTCACCTCAGTCACAGGACCCCTCACCTCAGTCACAGGACCCTCACCTCAGTCACAGGACCCTCACCTCAGTCACAGGACCCTCACCTCAGTCACAGGACCCTCACCTCAGTCACAGGACCCCTCACCTCAGTCACAGGACCCTCACCTCAGTCACAGGACCCCTCACCTCAGTCACAGGACCCCTCACCTCAGTCACAGGACCCTCACCTCAGTCACAGGACCCTCACCTCAGTCACAGGACCCTCACCTCAGTCACAGGACCCTCACCTCAGTCACAGGACCCCTCACCTCAGTCACAGGACCCTCACCTCAGGATGACAGGACCCTCACCTCAGTCACAGGACCCTCACCTCAGTCACAGGACCCTCACCTCAGTCACAGGACCCCTCACCTCAGGATGATAGAAGCTTGCATAGTATGTGAGTAACATCTGTTTAATCATGGCTTCAAGCACATAGATTTTGCCTGTCTGATTCTTCTTCCAGAGAAAGAGGAAGAGGGAGAGAGACAAGAGGAGGGCCAGAATGAGGGAGAGGCATCATCTTGCCGTCTTTATAACAGACCAACACACGGGATCGCTACCTTACCATTGTGAATGTCTCAGGGGTCCTTCGAATACCGTCCCAGTAGCAATTAAACATCAGCACGCATGTTTTTAGGGGGCTGATGCCTGGCTTGTGGCCCTGTGCCCCGTGCGGAGGACAGAAGACACGTTACAGGAGTTCCATGTGGGTGCCAGGAGTCAAATACAGTTGTCATGATTTAAAAAAAAGACTTCTTTAAAATTATGTGTGCGAGGATATACGCATGTGAGTGTAGATATCCTTGAGGCCAGCAGAGGGCGTCAGACGCCCTGGAGGTAGAGTTACGCTTGGCTGTGAGCCGCCCAGTGTGGCTGTTGGGAACTGAAACTGTGTCCTCCGGAAGAGCAGCAAGTGCTCTAACTACTGAACCACCTCCCTCAGCATGGGATTGACAGGACAGTTAACCCACAGTGCATTTATCTTGATTCCTGTAGTCCTTCATCTTAAACATTGACAGTTTTTCATGATTGGTTTTTGAACTGGTGCCACAACTTATACCATATTTTAAAATGAAAACATTTCAGTTCTATCCCCTATTTTGACTTATCCAGATCTCCCCATAACTTGCACTGCCTCATCAGATAGTCAGATAAACACATTGAAGTGTTGTACTGATGTGTTAAAAAGACAAACAAACACACAAAAACCACTCAGGCCATTAATGACAGTTAGAAAATGTGTTTATATGTAACATCCGGTCTGTTCAAGTACCTAGTACACGCTGCCATTCCTAAAACTTTCCACAACATGATGAGTGAGGAAATGATTTGAGTTCAAGGGTTAGCAAGATGGTTCAGCATGGAGAGGGCCTTGGAACCAACCCTACCGACCTGAGTTCAGTCGCCAAAACCCATGTATTCAAAGGAGAGAACTCACTCCTGAAAGCTGTGTCCTGTGGCATGCCCACGCCCCAAATTAATAAATGATGAAAAAAATTATAACCAAAACTTAATAAAATTTGCAGGAAGGCCAAGGTGATACACACTTGTACTTGAAGACTGAAGCAAGAGTTTAAAGCTGGCCTGGGTGATATAACGAGTTCCCACCTAAGATATAGAATATCTCTGTATCACCAGGCTGTGGTGGCGCACACCTTTAATCCCAGCACTCAGGAGGCAGAGGCAGGAGGATCTCTGTGAGTTGGAGTCCAGCCTGGTCTACAGAGTGAGTTCCAGGACAGCCAGGGCTACACAAAGAAACCCTAT